TGAACACTACATAACTCTATATAATCGCTATCGCCTTATTCACCAAAGCACAGTTATCGATTATCGATATCGGCATACTCGCTGCCGAGTACTCAGCCATTGGTATTTATTTGATTCATTTCAACTTATTTAATTTAATTTTTAAAGTGTTAAAACTTTATTCCATTTACACGTATGTATACATACATACGTGCATATAATTTACACCTAAGTATGGATTAGCTTATATACATATAAATATATACTTGCCTATATACTTGCGTTCTTAGTGGAGAAGCCGTGATTTGTTTTGCTTTTACGTCGGATTTTTTAACTTTCGTTTTTTGGCATTTTAAGCATGCTCACACATAAATATGTACATACAATCATAGACGTACATATATAGTATTTTACCTATTTTCTAATAAAGTTCACACTTCCGTCTGCCGGCACGCGTTCTGCGTTGTTGATTTTTTTGTGTGTTGGTTTTTGGTTGCTGCTTTTGTGTGATTTTTTTGACCACGCTGTTTTAGCTTGCTATATTTTCAGCGTGTTTGTAGGAACAACAGCAACAATAAAATGTAATAATTATGTTAAAAGCTTTTTATAACATTAAACGACAGTAATCGCGCAACGTTGACAGCGTTGACGACACCAGACATACAGCCGGCATGTAGTGTATGTATGTATATACATATATGTCGCTACAAGTATATAAAGTAACATGCATCGAAAGTATTTCTTCGCTTTTTCGTGCACTGGTATTTGGGAATTGCTGTGATGTCGTCAGATTTGACTCTTATTAAGTTCAAATGTATGTATGTATGTAGAGCGAATTGAGGGAAAACTAGGAGTACACTCTTGCCTCAGCTTATAATGGTGACTTTCTAAAATAATAGTTTTTGTAAATACGCTTGTAAAATGGTTGGTAGCTTACTATTCGATAAATTAAATTAATCATAAAAAACCATCGGCCGTTCGGAGGCGGCACAGTATAAACTGTAGTTCCCTTCATTTGAAGGCGAAACATCAAGACGCAAAAACACGAGCTGAAGGAGGAGCTCAGCCGTAAACCGCTTCAGCGGTTACAAAGCCCCAAATATATATATAAATGAAATATTTATAACATGAAAAACATATTTTTTATTGCAAAAATTATACTAAAATGACTCATCTGGAGAGCCAAATGCCTTAATTTGCATTTGCATAACTTTTATTTAACGTAAATATCCTTCGCTTTCTTTTTCAATATCTCTTCTGTCGTTCTTCGTTATTAACTGTTTGCACGCATATCATTTTTGCTTATTTTCCTTCTTACTTACACGCTCGCTGTACTGTCTTTTCGCAACAACTTTTCATTATCTCTACTTTTGGTAAAGTTGTTTCAGTTTGCTTCTTTTTGTTTGTTTTTGTTGTCTTTTTATATTTCGGTCGTAGCCGCAAGACAGTAGGTATGTACATGTGTATCTATGTACCAAAACCACAGCCGCAACCGCAAACACCAAACAACCTCACCATTTATAATAAGCTTAATTATTATTGTGCTTTTGCACTCAACTCACACCGAAGTCGCACACACACACACACACACACAAACATAAAAATTCAAATATGTACTTGTGAATAGCGACGACGACCTAGTTTCTTTGCTCTACACTTTACTGTGCTTGTGCACCACACAGCACTGCCACCCAAGCCACCAATCAACTAACGAATCAATTCAACTTGCGTTAGTATGTGTGTGCGTTTGTATTTCATCATTCGATGACGTTGTTTAATTGTATGCTACAACGTAGATATTTCAAGCATAAATGGCGTTTTACAAGGGGATTTCCTTATCACGATTCAGTCGTAAAGCCACACAAGCGCAAACACACACACATACACATACATACATACAGCTTCCATTCATCGCCTTTATTCAGTTGCTTGCGCTATATCTAAGTTGTCTGCGATTTCCCTGTCGGCGCATACAAAAATTGACGTTAGCTTTTCATTTGTGTACCTACAGCGTACAGACTCCTCTCAATTATTGTACTTTATTGCGAGAGAAGCAAACTTTTTCTTATGCCTACTTAGTTATTAGATACTTGCTGCTACATACATAACTACATAGCGGTTATGCAACATTTTGCAAGACAGCCACACAAAGACGACGACACTGAAACGTCTTGGCATGGTTAGGGCGCTGGCTTTGGTTGGTGGCTGGTGGTGGCATCACAAGGCAGAGTAATCAAATATGTATCTGCCAGCGAAGACGGGGTATCTGTGGCACGGCGTCTAAAATGTAGTAATAGTTATGTATACGTATGAATGGATGTGCTGTTGTATTTGTGGGTTTGTAGGCCTTTTTATTGTTTTTACGACGTTATTGGCATGCCAGAGAAAAAAAATAGTTGCTTTCTTGACTTCCCTATTGCCGACTATACTGTCTTCCGCCATGAAAGAAAGCACAAACCTATGTACATCCACATTTATATACATACATATTTATATATATTGATCTGTATATATTTATACGCGCTTATATATATATATTATAAGCTCAAAGCAAGCGCGCAGCAAGAAATTATTAATTTATATAATTTTAAGAAAGTAATGCAAATCGATTGCAAAGCTTGTTCCCATACAAAACTACTTGGCGAGTATTTAATTTTTTTTTTTAATTTTTAAAATTTGTTCAGAAGAGTATTTCTGCTGTTTTTTAAGACAAACTTTCTTTCCTTTCCTTGCAATCAAAGACTAGCATTCTCTGCAAAGCCTTTCTGCCGCCTACAGCTACTTTTTTCTGCACTTTCCTCATTCTGTCCTCACGCTTCACGCTCCGTATCATCTAGTAAGTGCATTAGAGTTGCATTATTGCCACAATAAAACGTCATCAGTCTCTGTTACTTGTATGCGTTCATACCAACATACCTACACAATATTTATTGCCTTTGACCAACGAACGAACGAACAACGAAACGAATCGTAAATTCTTTAGAAATGCATTTTTGCCACCATTCATACTTTCAATATTTACAGCAGCTTACTGTGTGCGGGCATTAGCACCTTTATAGCTCCACACATATATATACATACATACATGCATACATACAAACATACATACAAACATACAAACTACTTGTACAAGTTAGTCGCACTTGCTTGAGTGCCAATGCGAGTTATTGCTGCTTCCGAAATATAAATCAACAACAATAACTATGATTACAATAACAATAACCACTAATGTTAATTCCACTGCTACCTCTGGTCATTGCTACTGCCACTGCTGCTCGTATTTTACTGTCAATTAAAAACTCAGCGCTCCTAAAGCAATTTAATAACTGATTCGTAAGAGAATTGCTCAATAAAGACGACTAAAAAATTTTTTATATCAAATCGAATCGAATCGAATTCGAAAAAAAACTTAATATAGAAAATTCGTTTTAAGATTTATTCATGAATGTGATTTTGACTTTTGCGTAGGGATTGTCAAAGGCATGGCGAATTCATTCATTGACGTTTTACACAAACTAAAGCGAAGTAAACATAAGCGATCAATGACAAATGGGCGTAAAAGTTTTTTCCTGATAGCTGTTTTCTGAATTTACAACAAAATGTACCTCCCTCGTACTTTTCCAGCCGCTTTCGGCTTGCATTACGCATTGTTGGTAGCTTTATTTATTGTGATTTCTTATTGTTATTTACCGCATTTTACAACTTCTTACACAGCGGCGTCATTTGGCTTAATTCCCTATGTTGGGTTTCTGGTTTCTAGTTAATTTCCACACACATTTATCTACAATTATGTACGTTGCTCGGCGCTTCGGCTGTTTTAAACACTCAAATCTCTCGCGCTCTTGCCCTCATACGCTCTGCCTTTAAGTGTTTGCTTGTTCCTTCATCCAACTTGGTTCTCAGCTCATACCTTTAAAAGTCTCAGATCGTAATCTCGAACTCCACTGCTTAACTCAAAAGACACATGTATGTATGTGTGATTGAAGATTTTTCATTTGCGAATTTTTTATTTTCCATGTTTGTTCTTATTTTTCTATACAGAGCACTTGTGCTACCACATTAAGATTTCATGCGCCAATAACTCGTGCTCGCGTCAACGGTTACCACACGTTAAAAGCGTTTCGCAGACGTACGTGTACGTTCATGCGGTGCTGCTGCGCTGAGACAACGTACGCACCTTGATGTTCCCGTTACTGCCAGAGTGAACCCTTTAGACGTCGCCAGAACTTATAACACGCGCCGTCTGACAACTTTGAAAAGCAGCAGTGCTTACTATACATTTTTGTTTGTTTATAAATTTCTACAAAAATCTCCCTCTCAACTGCGTCTCACCGCCTGTCAACTTTTGTGAGCGGCTGTTGCTGTTGCTGTCTATCAACGTTGATACATTTCACCTGCTGCCATACATACCTTCAACGCGTCTGCCCCTTGCCTGTACCTTTCCCACGCGCCTGAGCTTTTTAGCTTGCTATAGTGGTCGCTATGGCGATGTCATCTGCCCTCCGCACTCAAACACTCAAGCAGTCGTCATTGCGAGCGCGAACAGTTGCTGCGATTCGTTGATTACACCGTTGCCATTTAATGATATGCCAATTGCTTGTGTTGTGCTTTACTTGTTGTGTTCTGCATCGTTTAGGCGTTTTGAGTGGTAATTTGTATGCGCAACGGCTGCTCATATTCAAGGGAAAGTTTTTATGTACTTTTCTATAACAATTTTCTTGTACTTCTTCCTCTCCTTGATTACTTATCTTAGCTTCGTAATGTGCTGGTTATTAACTTCTCCTTGTTTTTCTTGCCTTTCTTTCCCACTCTTGACAATCGCGCATTAAGGTTAATGCCGGCGAGTTTAATGCAGGTTATATTACCGTTAATCATATTTGTGTGTATGTATATAAGACTCATTGTACTAGTGGTATGAACGTTGCAGCTGTGTATTTCTTTGAACAGAGTTGCCCACTATATACAATATATTAACGAAATAATATTAATATTTCTTTGCCTTCTTCTCCTTCTCATTGCAGATCCGACGTTAAGCCTGAGAGCGCACGCGACAACATTTTCAACCCGTACAATAGTTGCGGCATTGACAACTCTAATCATCAACCATCGAACAAAACCGCCTGCAATGAAAACACCGCCAACTCCGACAACCTCAGCAACAATAACAACAATTCTTACAACAATTTACGCACTGACGACAGCACGGAACAAAGCAATGGCTGTGAACCGAACTACAGAGGCGATGGAAATAACCTCAGCAACAACAAAGTACACTCCACATCCACCAATGGCGATATTATGCACACATCGACGCTTCACAGTATCAACAACAACTGCCCGGCAAACAACAATGTCAATAGCATCTCCACCGCCAACAACACTACCACCACCACCACCTCATACACAGCTGCCATCCACTCAAGCGCCAACAATGCCTCCACCAACAACAATTCCACCCTCAATCTCATCACAACCCATGCCAGCATCGCTGCCAATTCAACGCCTTCCTCCGCCTCCGCCTCCGCCGCCGCCACATCGACCATCAACACACACTCCCGCAAACGTCAACTCTCCAGCAGCAATCTTGACAATGACTTGGAAATACTCGACCGTGAATTGAGCGAAATCAATGCACCAATGCCACTAATTGACCCCGAGATCACACAAGGTGCCGAGCAGCTGGAGAAGGCCATCTCATCGCGTAAACGTTTGCGCAGCGAGGACGAAAGTGATCGTTTGGTACGCGAAGCTCTCTCACAATTTTACATACCGCAACAACGGCTGATCTCTGCCATTGAGGACTGTCCGCTTGATGTGGTGAGTGTCGGCGGTAGTATGGGCGTCGGTGTAGGCTTGGGTTTAGGCATGGGCGTTGGTGTCGGTGTCGGTGTCGGGATGGGTATGACACCGCTGTCACCGAGCAAACGTCAAAAGCTAAGTAATAGCGCTAATGAGCTTGAGTTGGAGTTCGATTTGAATCAAAATCAAAAGGATTTCGAGGTGATAATGGATGCCCTACGCCTGGGCACACCAAGTCCTACACCCAGCGTGGGCAGTGACTCGTGCGGGCAGGCGGCGATGATGAGTGAATCGGCCAGTGTGTTTCACAATCTGGTCGTCACATCGTTGGAAACATGAAAGTATCAGTAAAAGACAGGCGGCAAGGCAGTCGCGGTTAAAAGAGATTGGACGCAGTGAAAGTGCGGTGTCAGCAAGTGAGTGTGCGACGTTACAGGGCGATCATGAAGCTTACGGGCTGGAGCAGGGAGAATTGTAAGATTTTTGTGCAACGTGCTGTCAACCGTTCACACTGTGAATTTATGCGACTTAAATGCAATTTACGCTAATATAAGTAAACACTTTTTACATCGCATCGTTAAGTTTAGCAGAATATGTTTGTGGGAAATATTAAAAATTATTGAAAATTAGTTAAGCAAAAAAAAAAACATTCTTTAATTTGAAAATGACGTCACAGTGGAAGCGAACACATACGTACATAATTTACAAAACGCAGAATAGTTTCACGAAACATGCGCAGAAAACAAACAAAAAAAGGTGAAAATGCCGCATATTTGTTGTAACTAAAATAGACAAAGCAAAAACTCTTAATTTTAAGCATTTAGCTTAAGATTTTTTTCCACAAGTATAACTCAATTTTAAGCATCCAATTACGTATAAGGAAAAACAGAAATAAAAACAAAAACAAAACAACATATACAAACGCATAAATCATAAAATATATACAATATTATTAAAAGTTAGTTAAGCACTAAACAAAAAGAACTAAATCAAAGAAAATGTAGTCAAGCAACAGACAACAGACATACCCACATACATACATACGTGTATGTATACCATACATGTACATATGTGTAGTTATATGTTTGTAGCAAGTCAAATGGTAGGGAATAAGATCGCGCAAGAAAAACGTGATTCAACAAACTTATGAGTAAAGAAGATTACATACAAAAAAAAAAAGAGAACAAAAAATGTTAAGGAAGTTACAAAAACAAGTCGTAAAACATTTAAACACCTATTAAAAATCTACAACTAATTTGCCTACAACTTTTGCTTTCTTCATTTAACGCCACGCTCTCCATATGCAGCTCACAGACTCTATTAAAATAAAAAATTCATTAAATTAAAAAAAAAAAAATCATTATATGCATATGAATGTTCATATGTTTTTACTATGATAAATTGATTAAAATACAAAAGAAATGAAAAGATTTGAAAATATGGTTTCGCAATTCTCACTGAAAACGGCAATTTCTATGTTTTCAAAACGGAAAATGAATGCTCCTACCGCCAAAACTATTTAATAATCTTTAAATTTCTTGACACCACCGCGCAGGCACCGTTTGCGCCAATTAAGAAGAAGAAGCAGCATTTTATTCAGATTTTTTTTTGGGGTAAAGTTTGAAGTTATTACGCGAAAATTGTTGTTATTAAAAACATGCGTTTCCAGAATTCTGAAATATGAAATGATCATTTTGTTGCAATTAATAGGATAGAGTGAAAAGCTTTCTGCACACAACTACAAAAAATGTTGGGTTTTACTTCAATGAAGTTTAAATATATCTGGATACATCCGAATTTTATTTTAATATTTTTTTTTTTAAATTTCTACTAAAGTAAATCTTAATAATAACAGCAAAAATAAACAAAAAAAAAAAACAAATGCAATGGACCTTCATAACTTTCAAAGGAAAGAAATAACTTCAAACCCCACAAATTTTAAAACATTTATTAGCAGCTTTCTGAGTCAAAACTCCAACACGTAATAATATTTTCATAAGAATTGTTTCTTTTACTGTTGAATTTACAAAATGTTTTTTTGAAAAATCGATTAGTTTTTGTTGTTTTTTTATGTTTTATATTTTTTGTTTTCAATGAGAGTAACAGATCAATCTATTTAAATGCTCCAGTTATTATTTTAATAACAATAATAACTGTTTTAATTAATTTAAATTAAATTTTATAATTTATTTTTTTACTTTGCACTTTTTTGTTTTTTTAAATAATTTTTTTAAATCATTTTTTTTTTAATTTGGTTGTTCATTTTTATTTAATATTTTAATTGATATTATATTATTTTATTTTTTGATAAATTTATTTAATTTATTTTTTTTTTATTTAATTTATTAGGTAGTAGTTAATTTTTATAAGTTTTTTTTTTTTTTTTTTAAATTGATTGCTATTATTTTTTGTTTTTAATTAATATTATTATTTTAACTTTTTGGTATTTTTTCTATCCGCAATTTAATATGTTATAAAATTTAGTCTATTACGTTTCAAGTGGCAGCAAATTAAATTTCGCTCAAATCTTTTTGAAAAGCAAACTTTCGCCGTACAGTTATTAAAAATCAACTCGTTTCAGCAACTCTATATTCTTTATATTTTCGTACGCACAAAAAAGTTTAAAAACCGGAAAGTTATTCAAAAAAAAACCAATATTTTATTTCAAAAGTGCAATTAAAAGATGATATAAAGAAAAATACTTCAAAATGCAAAAAAAAAAATAAAAAATAAAATATAAAATATACATTTACAAAATTAATAGAAAACCAATAAGTAATGCAAAAACAAAGCCGCTAAGCCTATAAAAAAGGGAGAAACAATTTGAACAAATATAATATATAAGAAAAATGTTTAATTTTTTAACCGTTGGCAAAAGAATGGCATGTAAAAAGAGTAGAATTTTTATTATTGTGAATAATGCATAGCGTAGGGTAATTGCTAAAGCAGAGTTGTATTAAAAGTAGCAGAGTTGAGAAAGAATTTGTTTATTTCAAACAATGGCTGTGATAGTATTCTTAAGTTAAAATTACAAAAGAAAAAACCATAAAAGCAAAAAGAAAAAGGCAAAGTAAGCAAAAATATGAATAAATAAACGCTAAAAAAAACAAATAGCAAAACAAAAAATTATTTAAAACAAAACAAATACAACTGGAAGCAGTTAATATAAGCAAATGTTTAGGTTATATTTATAATCACTATATTCCACATAAAGCAAACTCAAAAAGCAAATTACTTAATTTTTTAAGCTAAACAAAAAATAAAAAAAAAAAACAAAAAAAATACAAAAAACAAAAAGAAACACACTCATTGAACAAGTATTATAAGCAAGATTGTAAAGCAAAGCAAGAGCCCAAAACAAACAATGCGTATTCTAAATAATATAAATATTATATATTCACAATAATTTATCTATTCTGTTTGCTTGTTAACCACTCACTAAAAGCTCTAAAAAGGTTTCAGCTCTTTTATTTCAAACAAAAAAAAAAAAAATAAAAACTCAAATGACACAACTTCCTCTGTAGAAATTATAAATTTACTGGATTTTTCACACAAAACTCGTGAAATTTGTTAAAAAAAAGGTTTTTATTTTTGTCTTTGTTTAAAACTCTATGCATTTTTTAAAAGCAAAAAAAATTCATACACATACTACTTAACGTGTTTGTTTGCAATTGTTTGTATAATTAATATTTTTTTTTTCATTTGTCAAACGTTTAACCGTTTTCCTGTATAAAACAAAAAAAAACACGAACCTTTGCTCTACTCAATATTTGCTTGAATATTTTTTAATAAACTAAAACTTAAGAAAAAACTTGTTCACTATTCATTTCTTGTTTCTATTATTATTAAGTTGTAAACTGCAATGCAAAATGAATGCATGAAAATTAAAAAAAAATAATTATGATAATTAAAATATTGTATGAACTACACAAACTACATACATACATACATATGTATATTTAGTGAAAAAGAAGTTTCTTAGCTGTTACTATCTAGTTATAGTTTTAATTTCCTTTTTTATAAAACATAAATACATATACATATACATATATATATATATATACATATACAAATACATGCATACATAAATGCTATTATTATTATTATTATGATTATTACTATATTATTATTACGGTTATCGCATAATAACTAACTTGTAATTACTTATGTATATTGTAGAACAAATAAACTGCATAAAGTTTACTTTCATCATTAAAATAAAAAAAAATTAAAAAAAAAAACAAGAAAATCATAAACAAATTTACACGAAAAAATTACAAAAATTACGCAACATAAAATTAAAATTAAAAAAAAACATACAAAAACTAAATAAAAGTATTGAAATATTTGCAACAAAAAATGATATTTTTATTTATTTCACAATATTTCGGCTGCGTCGTTGTTATTGCTTTAGTGATTTGCTTAACATGTCTGTTATTGTTATTGCTTCTCTAACATTTTCACTTTTCCGTTTATTGCGTTTTCCATATATTTACGTTTTGCATGGATTTCGTTGGATTTAGTTTTGCCCCCTTTCTTCCTTTCGCCTGCACTGCTTTCTGTGTTTTGACTTGTTGTTTTTTAGTTGACAAGCACTTTTTTTTTGAATAATCAGAGGCGGAAAACGAGCCAAAAACAGTTTGCTGCTGGCCAAAAAGCAAAAAGTAAAAAGGTTTATTTCATTATTATTCATTTTGGTCGTCGAAAGTTCGAGGAACAAAGTTCGCACAGTTGCATTTAGGAATGCGTGACTTTGTATGGTCGCTTTGCAACCGACGTTTCGGAACTCACTCTTAAAGACGTTGTCAAAGCTCGAATGCTCCAAAGCAGCAACTTGAGTTTTAGAAGAAAAAAAAATTATTGCCTCGGGAGATCGCATAAAATCCAATAACTTCCTTTCTGCTTTTTTTGCTTTTCAAATGCCGCATAACACTCAGGCAATCAGCACCCTTGAATTTTGATTGTGTTCCGCACCACAACGATTATAGTATTATGAGCTACGCTCGAATCGAAAGAAGAAGAAGAAAGCAGAAGAATTGTTCGAAATCAGCGATAATGCTGTGAGCCAAGAGTTTAAAATAGAATTTTGTAAAAAGTATGTGATACTTTGGGATTGGGGTAAGCTCGATCAAGAACTTTGACATCGTAGCAGTAGATGCTTGACACTTTGCCGCAGGTAGCTACCAACTTGGAGTTGGGAAGTCGGTCAAATTTTTTCGAAGTTGTCGAACTTTTTGGTGGGGGATTAACTTCATTTAGAGTTCTAGCAACCTCCTCAGTTCTTCCTTTTGGAGCCTTAGAGATACTTGTTCTATAGCATAAAAAAACACATTACCCTGACTTCCGCAACTATGAAAATAATGGTTTTAATAGAAGGGCCCACTGATACCTGTAAGTTTGTCTGCGCACGTCACCAACCTTGCTAGAAAGGATGACGTGACTAATAGTTTTGGGCAGAAAACAATTTTTCAGAGCTTGAGATAATCCGTTAGAGGGTTGTAAGAGTCGGACAACATTTGAGATTATTTCACTGGGCCCTGTTCTATGACATTTTCGGGAAAGTTATACAATTTTATAAAAATACTTGAAAATAAAAAAACTTATGCAGTGTAATGAGAATTGGATAGAATTGTACGTTTTCAAGATTTAAGGAAACTTTACGGAAAACAGTTTAAGATTTTATATTTCTTAAAATAAATACTAATGTTGAAATGTTAAAAAAAAAAAAATTTACGATTTCCATCACCTCCTATATTTCGAGCCTAATTTTTCCGGAAAAGTTGGAAGCTCTAACGACCCTACGATGGATACATCCAGCGAGGAATAACAACGCAACTGACTTAAGCAGCGGCCAATAATCGGTTCCACTCAAAGCTCAGCCTTTAAAATAATTTTTATGCATCAGCAACCACTGCAAATAACATACGGCTGATCAACCTAGGTAAGTATATCTTTATATGTACATACATACATGAATGGGCTGTCGTAAATTGGCTTCATTCAGCAACGTAACAATCATTCTAACGTCGCTCTGATATTTCAATATCACTTTTACCATAAACCGGTTTTTGATGTTGCGAAAATATTGACTTTTTCTCTAACGGTAATAAATAGAGATCTTAAATGTGCAGTATTGGCGAAGAATCTGCTTAGCACCAACATACACACGCGCGATATCTTTCTGTGATCGATTCACTACACCTTCCGCCCTTTGGCCTTTCCCTTATGCCATAAGTCAAAAAGCTCCCTCTGCGACTACTCTACTTCGCACTCCCGTTGCCAAGTGGAACAATTCATGTTTTAAAATAAAATTAAAATCCAGTAAAGTTATTGAGTATTTTTCTACATTGTCATAAATTTTTCAACAAGAACAAAAACATTTTTCGATTATTATTTTTCCAACTGGAATTTTTTGAGTTGAATTGGGTTCTTGTATGGACATTTTCTTCTCTGAACATTTTCATTTTATTTTATCATTAAAAATACACATAAAGTAAGTACTAAGTCAATGCTGAAGAGTCTTTTACAACAAAAAACACATTCGAATGCTTCAATTATGGATAAGTTGAGCATAAAACCCATATTTATTTATATGTATTGTGTAGTTTTTGCTAAAAATAATACAGATTAATACAGATATTGAGAAAATACCTATCTATATATAATATACACACACGTATATACAGACATTTAGTGCTTTTTATTGCTTGAAAGTGAAATTAAAATAAATGTCTTATGATTTGCTTTAGTGTGATATATAAGTAACATACATATGTACATACGAGTATGTGTATGTAGCAGCAACAAAAATAATTAAATAAAACATTACAAATCACAATATACATATGTATACTCACAATTGTATATTGTACTATATATACTATATATATATATATATATATATATATATATGTGTGTGTGGATGAACACATAAAAATTATACAATTTATTTAAATAAGTAAGCGACGAATATGCAATTAAGCTAACATTTTACAAATAAATTAGTTTGTACAAATTTTAGTGTTGGAAAAAATATAA